TGCTGGGTCGCCTTGCACCCCCCCTGGAATTTCTTCACGCCCTCTCCCCTCCCAGTTTGGGAACCCATGGTGTAAATGATTTGTGTGTACCCACCAATACTTCTTAATGCTTGCATGGAAATTTTGCCTATTTTCTAGGCTTATGATATAACATCTTTACTGAGGTTTATGTGACCAGAAGTAAACATCCCTACAGAAATGAGACAACAACACTCTTCACCCCCCCCCTTCAAAATAAGGAAAGGCCTTTCTTCTCAGGATACAGTGCTAGCCAGTGGCTGATGATTTTTGTGGGATAGTTGTGTGGAGATGAATATATTTCAGGAAGCTTGGAAGAGGGTCTTTGTCTGACGTGGAAGGAAATTGCACATTTCTTTTTAAATTTGCTTTAATCAAAAAATTTTTGATGTCTCATTGCTAATGTGGAGATCAAAAGATGGAAAACAGTCTTGTTAAGACTTCTTTTGGTGTGTCTGGTATTTTAGAATAGAGCAGTTAGTCGGGACTTTTAAGGTATGTCTGCCCTGGAATTAGACCTCTCTGGCTGGCCAGTGCCACCTGACTTGGGCTCAAGGTCTGTTTGGTTGTGGAGCCCAAACATTACATGCAAGTTAAACAGCCCCATAGCCCCTGCCCTGTAAACCTCATTAGTTGGCATTGGCTGGTGGCTAATTTTTAGTTTTGACATACTTCTATGTGTGGATTCCAGCTCTTGTGATTTGGTGAAGCAGCTCGAGTCACTTAACCTTTTTTGTACCTCCAGTTCTCAATCTGTACGATGGGCCTACCTCACGGGGGGCTATAAAACTGTAAAGTGGTACGTAAGGGCAAACAGTTCTATTAGCACATGTACTGTCTGTTATAAAATGCATAAACTCTGGATTTATAGAAGCCCTTGTGTTTTTTCATTGCATACTGGGCTTAGAGGAGATTTCCAAAGATCACCAAAGTTTGCAACTTTGCCTGGTGGTGTTGGTAATACAGAGTAGTGATAAGGCCTAGAAGAGAAGTGGATTGCTTCTGAGAATTTTACATTAGTACTGTCAACTGTCCCCTTGGGATGGGCCGGGGGAGCAAAACTCAAATGGGATTCTCCCCCCCTCCCCCCCCAGAAATAGTGCTTTACAGTTTAATGTAGGATTTGTTATTTTTATTTTTAAATGTTAGGTTTGTGTTGGCTGTGGGCAGTGCGGTCTTCGATGCAATGTTTAATGGTGGAATGGCCACAACTTCTACAGAGATTGAACTGCCTGATGTGGAGCCTGCGGCCTTCCTAGCTTTGCTAAAGTAAGCCTCTTTTATTGTACAGTGTAATTCACTTTTAACTGGGCACAGGTTATTGTGAACATGAATATTTCAGATGCCAATAATCATTGTATCTTTTGGTTAAAATGGAGATTAAGTAGTTTATTCTCACTACTATTCCCACCATTGATTATTATTGTACCAGATAATTTTATCTTAATTATCTGGTGCAGTGTGTTCTTGAGGTACTATTTTTTGTAAAGACTTTGGGCTGACTATCAGTTTGAAAAAAACAAACGTCCTAAGCCAGGACACTGTCACTCCACCAGCCATCACAGTAGACGACTACCAGCTTGACGTCGTCCACCAGTTCACGTACTTGGGCTCCACCATCACCGATAATCTCTCCCTTGACGCTGAGCTCGACAAGAGGATCGGGAAGGCAGCCTCTACTTTAGCCCGCCTGACAACCCGAGTGTGGACCAACCCCAGGCTGACAACCGCAACAAAGATGGCAGTGTACAACGCCTGCGTCATCAGCACCCTGCTGTACGGGAGCGAGACATGGACCACATACGCGAGACAAGAGCGGAGACTGAACGCCTTCCATCTACGAGGTCTGCGCCGCATCCTGGGTATTACCTGGCAAGACAAAGTCTCCAACTTCGAAGTTCTGACTCGAGCCGGCCTCCCCAGCATGTACACCATGCTCCGACAACGTCGCCTGCGTTGGCTTGGCCATGTACGCCGCATGGAGGATGGGAGGATCCCAAAGGACATCCTCTACGGGGAACTGGCATCTGGGAAGAGAACCACAGGGCGCCCGAACCTGCGATTTAAAGATGTCGTGAAGAGGGACATGAAAGCCATCGACATAAACACGCAGTCCTGGGAAGACCTCGCAGCAGACCGCCCAAAGTGGAGGGGCACCCTGACCACACAGCTCAAGTCAGGCGAAACGAACATGATGCGTGCATCAGAAGAAAAGCGAGCCCGCAGGAAGTTACGCAACAACAGCAGCCAGGGAACCACCTATAGCTGCGACTTCTGCGGCAGAGAATGCCTGTCCCGGATTGGCCTTTTCAGCCACCAACGACGCTGTCCCCGACGCTGTCCCAGACAATCCGACACGAACCAAGACGAGAACTAGGATACGTCATCCATGGTCAACTGACCGACGGAGGCCTACAATTTTTTGTAAATCCTTTATTTCCTATTTGATAAACCTTTTTAAAACTGCCATTGTTTATGTAAGACACATACAAGTGGCTTTGCACGTCTGCTGGTTCTGTTGCACTGAAGGCATGTCTAACTAGTGTTTACAACTCTTTAGCTGTATTGGTCTAGAAGCTGATACAACTGAAACAGTATGTTCCTTGGTATAGACACAGTTATACTATGATGATAGGAACAAGCTATACTGATAAATGCCTTTATATTGGTGTAAGAGGACAGTTTCTCAGCAGTGAAAGATTCTATCTGTCAAAACTCATACCTTTACTTGAAATCATTAAATGGATACTGAATTGTTTTTTAGAGCAGGCCAAGTAAATCCTGTTCGTAGAGCTGGCTTGCTCTGGATGCTAGGGGCTCTTTAGAAAAGGAGAACAGCACAGCATGCTCTTTGCATTGCTTGACTTACAAACAAACCCAGCTGGAAACCCCTTTCCAAATGAAAGGGCAGGGTCAGTGCCTCCAAGATGGGCTGTGGTCCTGGTAAGGGAGACAGACCTCCAGCCAGGACTGGGAGGAAGGGGAAGAGGCCGTAGTTAGGAGGGAGGCTCCTCCCATTGCCTATGGGGGTGCAGAAGGCTCCCTGCATTTCTGAGTGCGGGAGAGGCTGATGTTAATTGCTGCTTATATTTTGTTGTTTTCTGTGTCAAGTGAAATTAATGTTTACCAGAGACTAACAATTGAAATCAAATTCTTCCAAGCCTGTGTACAATCTGTTGCTTGAGTGGCATTTTTAAAGCTGCCAGAAAACTTGGAAGCGCCTGTGGTTTTTGGATGCATGATAACAGCTCTCAGTAAAGGCGGCGGAGTCCTTTTGTGCTCCTTAAAGGGCCACATTTTGTGTGCAAAACTGACCTCCCTAGAGCAGTGGTCACCAACCAGTAGATCGGGATCTGCCAGTAGATCTTAGAGCCTCTGACAGGGGATTCTAACTGGTTTGGCCAAGTGTCCACACTTCTGCTGCCCCTCCCCCTACTGCTGTGCATCTCCTGCCCTTTGCCTTGGAGATGTCTCTCCTCACCCCCAGGAGCCTCCGGCTTGCTGTACAGGGCAGGGGAGGAAGAGGGGCACTGACGTCAAGGCACCCCCTCTCCCACCCTGTATCCTATGTCCACAAAGCAGAGAGGGGGCACAACAGGACTTGGGAGGGAGTTTACTGGCTGCTTTTGAGAGTGGTGCAGGGCCAGGGCAGGGGTGATCCTGCCTTAGCCCCACTGCACCACCCTCCAGGAGCCACTTGAGTTAAACAGTGCCCAGTCAGAGTCCACATGTCAAAACCCTAGCCCAGCCATGAACCCCTCCTGCACCCCAAACCCCTGCCCTAGCCCCGAGCACTCCTGCATCCAAACACCCTCCCAGAGCCTGCCCCTAGAACCCCCTCTGCCACCCCAACTGCCTGCCCCAAGCTCAGCTCAGAGCCTCTCTCCCACTCCAGATCCCTTCATCCAAGACCAGAGCCTGCCCCCAACCCTCTTCCCTAGCCTGGTGAAAGTGAAGGAAGATGGAGGAGAGAGGGAGAGTGGAGTGAGCAGGGGTGGAGCGTCGGGAGAAGTGGTACAGAGGAGGCGGGGCTAGGGTATTTGGGTTTGATCTTGGATTGCACTTAAATTCAAAAAGTGATCTCATGCTAGAAAAGGTTGGAGATCACTGCCCTAGAGCTTGTGCGAGTACTGGCATCTAAGCACAATGCTGTCAGATGTCCTAATGAAGATTTTTCCATAGCTGGGTAAACATTAAATACAGAACATCAAGTTTACACAGGCAATAAACTGTAAGTGTCTTGTTTCGGCAATCTGTGTTCTGTAGCTGACTTAATTGCTGCCATCTCTCACTTTGACACACGGTTTCCACCTCTCCGGTTGTCAGGAACACTGCCTATATATAGCTTTGGAACATAGATTTTTTTTGTTTCCCTTTTCAGAAAAAGTGCTTTTGCTATAGCTAAGACATCAGAGAGGAAGCAGAGCCTTAAAGGCTAAAAATGATTTCCCCATCCCCAGAATGAAGGGTTAGAAATCCTCAGGACTCCCTTTCAACTGATGCATCAGATTTAAAATGAAAGCACCAGGAAACCTCTCCCCACCCACATACAGTGCTTCCTGCCTGTGGAACTAAGAGCCTTTAATTGGTTTCAGTTTAATCCATACCCAGCCAAACAAAGCTGGCGGTTAGTTTTAATACTTGATTTAAAAAAAATGCAAACTAAAGTAGGGCTTGAGTTTAAGAAAAGTCAAACTGTGAAGTTATTCACTGATCTCTTCTGAAAGCCTGCGGTTTTTAGTGTGGTTCGTGAAAGGCCCAGTGAAATGGTCTCTGAAGGAAAGACGATCTGGAATTAACATTCACCCTCTTCCTTGGTATCTGTCCAATAACAGAAAGGAAAACACCATTTTTCCCTATAGAAAAAGAAGAGTAAAGCTCGGATAAGGTGATGACTCTGTGTGAAGAGTCACACTGCATGTGGCGCCACAGCGTTCTACGTGACTTGGCATTAAGCTAGGGTTCTTGCCTCAATGGGCTGATTTACCAGGGAAAGATGGAAGGTCTGATCTCACAATGAACAGGCCCAGCAGTGACGCTTCAGTGCTTTGTTTAACAATTTACTTGGAATTTAGCACTTGTCTTCATGCTGATTTTGAACTGGGAAGAAGTGCTGACACGGGCCTCCTGGATGCCATGAGGTCAGGAAGATTTTTTTCACCAATGTCCACAATTGCACTTTCTGCCCCCCTTAAAGTTCAGTTCCACTGCCAGAAGCTAGATTCCAGTTGTGACTGGGTGCATCCTGGGGCTAGGAACCACTGTGCCCCCTTGGCTTTCTCCAGCCTGAGCTGCCTCTCAGTGCTTTGCTAGTGACCAGTGGCAACCCTCCAGGGGCTGTTATCACACAGCACAACTGCACCCAGCTAGGTTGCATGAATGCCCCCATGGCCGCTCATGAATCAAAGAGAGAAAGGCACCAGAGCCAAATCCCCCCAGCACTGTACCCCAGGAATCAGGCCTGTATGCAGGAATTTCTGGGATGTGTGCTTTTGTTGTAAGTGTGGACTGCAAGTGTGTGAATGCAACCCCATGGTCCCCCACGTAAGCGGGGAAATCAGCCCCAGCCTTCCCCTCTCCTCCCTCCCCCCCGGCCAGAACACAGGGGAGGGAGTCTCAGGCAGCTCACTGCTTCTGCCCTCCCCTGGCCAGCTGGAGCATGCTTGCTTGGGAGATCATGAGGGGGGTGCTTTCGCACCCTGCACCCTCTCCCCCACATACGGGCCTGGGAATATACTATTTAATTTATTAATTGGTTCACCACTTCAGCAGTGGAAAGTGGGTATATACCAGCCTTTGCAAATTTCAGAGTAAATCTACCAAACGTGTCAGGCAAACTCGCTAGTAAAGACGAACAGTAAAACAAGTGTATTCGCTATAAAAGGTACCTATTAAGTGATAGGCAAAAAGAGTAGTTACCAAAATAAAATAAACAGTCTAAATTCTCAATTCTATTAGAGTGGGAAGCAATTAGATCAACCCGTTTTCCTCACCACACTGGATGCTGCAGTTGGCAATACACAGATTTCACCCTTGAAATGTAGGCCAGTCCCTCCGTTGGAACCTTCAGTCTCCTCAGTGTCCTAGTTGCTGGCAGTGTAGGTGGGTGAAGAAGAGAGGCCGAGCATGGGCCTCTGGGTGTTATACCTTAGTTCAGAAGCAGGGAATGTTTTTTGGGCCGGGGGCTGCTGACCCACAGAAAGATCAGTCGGGCACCTCTCACAAGTGAGAAGCCAAGAGGGGGGAAAAAACAACCACCCCATATTCTCCTCCATGACGTGGCCCCCGACTGAGGAGGAGAAAGATGCTCCCCACATTCCCCTCACACCAGAGCCTAGGAAGACCAGGGAAGCGGCAGGGGGCTGGAGCACCAGCATGGGCTCCCCAATGCTGGGTGGGGAGCTCTGAGCCTCGGGGGCCGGATCCAGGCAAGCTGGGGACCACATCTGGGCCTTAGGTTCCCCACCCTTGCCTTAGTTCAGGTGCTCGAAGAAGACTGCAGAGCCTGCAGCAAAGTCTCCCTGGGAGCAGGGCCAGCAGCTACCAAGAAGGTGACAGCAAAGCGTCGTCCCCGGGAGTGCAGGGGGTGGGGAGGCTCCTGGGGAGGCTTTGCAGCGGGCTCTGCAGGATAAAGTTCACTTAAGCTTTATCCTGCAGAGCCCGCAGCTCATGCCGCCCGGCGGTCGCTCGGCGTTCTAGCAGTCGCATGGTTCCGTTTTTAAACGGAGTACGGCAGTGTCTGCTGTGTCCGCATCGTAGTTGTCCTCTCTAGCTAGTGTTTTTGTTATCGCGCAGTGGGCTCTTGCTTGTTTAGATTTGTGTGGCCTCAGTCTGCTTTTCATTTGGATATTGGCTGTTCTGAATGTTTCTTGTTTTTTTGCAGTGTAGATATATGAAGTCAGCCAGACTCCTGAACTTTTCTCAAAGCCCTTTAAGTATCCCAGTGATTATCCTTGGCTTCAGGCCTGGTTTGGGGCTTGAGCATTTTTTAATACTAGCATGCAAGAACAGGATGATAGTCCCATAATAATAAAGGGTAGCTGTTTGGGAGAGGAACCAAATACATAAGCCAGTGGCTTGATAGTGTTAACTACAAATACTTGGTAGCTACATCACCTTTTAGTAGATTCTCAATGTGCTTTGCCAAGAGTCTCAACCTACGTTAAGTGGCTCTCCGGGACCTTGTGTCACGCAATACTTAAAATTTATATTCTTAGAGGAGTCTAGCAAGTAAAATGTCAGGTTAGTGATGTATTCTGGGTTTGAGTGAGGGTTTAGTTGTAGACATCTGCTCTCTGGCTTTCCTCATGATGGGAAGGCGGAAGACGTCCCAAGTCAGGCTAGTGGTTGGAGCTGGGATAGAAGTTAGACTTTTTATGGCTGTCATCAAGGACCTTTTTTATAAGTGGCCCTTTTACCCAAGCAGCCTGAACTTGGTGGCTCTCTTGTGACTAGTGCTGCTTGCAGAGAGAAGTATCTTCAGGAGGGCTGGCATGTACAATCCAGTGGCAGCACTGCACACTGTGATCATGGTTTGAGTCCTCTGCCTCTGAGGACAGCTAGGCTGTGAGCATGGAACTGTCTTACTTCAGTCTAGCCGCCTGCTGTGATGATGGGCTTTTTATCACTGTGGCAGAGTGGGGAGAGGTATCAGCTGCTACTAAAAAGTAAGAAATGGCTCCAGCGTGATGAACGAATACATCCTGGTCTTTGTGCATTGGAGATTTCTGTCCTGGCTCTGACTGCTGTCTTCCAGTGGGTGAAAGCAGGCTTACAGAGTGATATTTGTTTGCGTACTTCCAGGTTTCTTTATTCGGACGAGGTTCAGATTGGTCCAGAGACTGTTATGACAACACTTTACACAGCTAAAAAATATGCTGTCCCTGCTCTCGAAGCCCACTGTGTGGAGTTCCTAAAGAAAAACCTTCGTGCAGACAACGCGTTCATGCTCTTAACTCAGGTATGTTCGGATGCTGTGTGCATTTCAAGTCATTTTTAACAGGTGCAGCAGCTTTAGCTTATCGAGGATTTTAAAGATGTTTTGGTGGCGTGGCTTGAAATGGAACAGCTGACTGCTCTGGTAAACATTTTGGCGTGTTGTTTTAGTCCAGAATTCTCGCACGACTAGCTGGAGGTCTCCTATTGATGAAGACTGATGTAGTCCTAAAGCATGAATTGTAAGTGCTTATATTATTTGCTGTCACTATTCCAGAAAGAACCTTTCAGGTGTGCAAAGTGCCTTAATGCCACGATCATGAGAAAACAGTAAATGGCTCTGTAACAAGAGAACTTTACTGGGCTTCATCTACCTGACAAGTGTTATGGTCTAAAACTATAAAGTATTGGTTGTTCAAATTTAGGGCAACTCCAAGAATAAATATTCACTGTATGGAGCCCACTGGCAGTCATCTGAAGGCCCCCTTGAAGGATTTCTTTAATACCAGAATTCCCCCACTTCTGAAGAATACACAAAGAGCTCAGCCTTTCATACCACAGGATGTTTTTTCTCCTTGGGGAAAGAAATGAGATAAGTAAGAGGAACAGTTATTTGTTGTTGCAAGTAACTGGATGGTGGCCTTTGTCCTCAGCAAGCACCAGCTCCGCTCTCCACTACAGGAGATGTACACACACGTGGAATTTCTGGATAAGGTGCTGGCTGAGGCTGCAAGACCCTGCCAGTGTCCTCTTGTGAGGCTGAGCTGGGACCCCAGCTATCAGGTTTTTATTTCTGACTGCTTTAGACAGCAAATCAGCACTTAGTGGATTCCGTCTGCTGATTTATTTGGGAAAGTTAAGTCTCTGCACAGAGAGCTTTTTGTTGTAATAACTGAAAAATTAATATTTATAACATTTTCAGACTAATTTTTAGTCCCATCAGGAACTTTGTTCTTGTTTAGGGATCTGAGCCTTTCCTGGGCCACTAAAACTCTTTCTAGGCACAGCTGAGGACAAATGCAGGAGTTTCAAAACATCTCTCTCCTTCAGTAGCACCCTGCACGTTCTAGATAAACACACTTGGCTTGTTCTGCTTCAGGGCAGGGCATGCCTGACTGCTGTTCTGTGCAGGTCCCTCAGTGGTTACACACACACAGTGGGAAAAACTGCCTTAGGCTATGGATGGCACCAGCCTTCTAGGGGAATTGGCATTCGTTTCCCTCTGCTGAGTTGGGAGCAGTGGTCAAAGCAACTGGGGGACAGTTTGGCCCTGGGGGACTTGACCAGATTGTCCTGTGCAGGGGGCCTTGATGCCAGGAATTGTTAACTTGCTCTGTGATCCTGTTCCCTGACTCTAGCACTTTGTGGGAAGTCCACTTTCCAACTGTGTGTCGTGCTGGCCCACTGCATGCTTGAGGAGCTCTGCCTCCCAGCATTGCTCTTCTTCACCCTGGTCATCTTGGTTACAGCTTCAGTGTCTGGCTCTTCAGTGGTTCCAGAATCTCTGGCGTCAACCATGCGAGTTTCTTTGCCTGGAGTGCTTCAAGTTTTGGTCCCCTCTTGAGTCAGATGCTCTGGATCCGGGATCTCTGGCACTTAATGCTTTGTCCTCTGGCGTCTCGGGAATACGTTCTTAGGTGTATGTTGTCTCAGTGCTTGGTTGCTGTGTCAGGCTCTTGCAGCACTCGCTGTTCTCTTCTTGCTGCTGGTCATGAATAAGGCCTGTCTGTCTTCATGTCCTTCTAGGCTGGCTGTATTTTCTTCTTTGAGTCCGAGCTTCCTGTCGTAACATTTTCCCCTTACCTGACTCGGGCCAGGTTATTACTGGGACTTAGGGACTCCTAGCTTCTACCTTGCTGTCTGGGGTATGGCCTCATGTCTACTCTGAAATGCTTTGCTCCTGATGATCTCAGCTCATTTTGTACCCGTGTTTGTCTCTTGTCTGATGTATGGATTCATGTAGGGATGAAATACTCATATTCCCTTAAGATTTTTAGCATTCTGGTCCTTTTGGCCATTTGGGCTAAGCAGCCCAAGGTCTCAAGCCCAGGAGCTGGGAAGAGATGTCTTTTAGTTAGATATCAGTTGCTAAAGACACTCAGCTTGGTCAGCAGCTGTCCTCTCATCTCCCATTTTTTCAGTGAATGGGAAAAGGAAAATTCTTCTTTTGGACTTCATCATGCAGTGATTTTGTGTAGTGAGCTTTTGGCTCTCCAGTGGATGACTTCCGAAATTTTGGAGAATGATAAAACTTTGTCCCCCAGTAATTTCTTCAGTTGGAGTCATAGCTGTCCCCCTACAGCACAGGAAGAAGAGGTTTTACTTGTATTAAAGTCTCAAAAGATTTTGGATTGCATCCATTGTCTCAGCAATACTTGGGTTAGCGGAGTTTGATGGACACAGCTTTTGATATTCCTTTTTCCATTTCTTTAAGATTGGTTCCTGGCTCCTGACTTAAAGCACCCATCCTATCTTGTGATTCATGTCAGTTTTCCATTCTTTGTGGGGGACAGTAATCGCTAGTACCTGTACTTTCCATTCATTCTCCATACCCCAGGAGTCTTAGAATGGCTGGCTGGCACTGGCAGCCTTTCTGGGAAACAGGCATGTGGAGCTGCATCTCCTGGCCTCAAGGTCCAGTCCTGTCCTTGAGCCTAGGACCCAACCTCAAAGTCTCTTTTTACCACAATACAACTAGATTGAAATGGAAACTCCAGACTTATGCCTTTGCAAATCTAGTCTCCATTGGGGCACTCCTGTGCTGGGAGCTGTGTACATTCCGTAAGATGATCCGTGCATCAGAGAGCTTAGTCTAAATAGGAAAGACAAAGCATGGAGGATGGAAGAATTCGTCAGGGCGACCTCTGCATGTTCCTGTGTGTTCTGAATGGCTCCCAGGACCTCAATGGTACCTAAGCTAGGCATAGAAGAGATAGTGCTAGAGGGACCCAGGACTCTGGTGCTCGGTCCTTGGCACTCATTCTGGAGATCTTGGTGCCACTTATGCTGGACATAGAGCCACTTTCAGTGTATAACCAGACTCCTAAGGAGGACTCTCATATGGCCCGATTTAGTCCATGTAATGTAAGGAAATTCACAATGGTGTAAGTACATCGATCTATTCAATCTCTCTCCTCTCCCCTCCCCCCATAGACACTGGCACAAAGCAAAATTTACACGAGTGCTACTTGCTTCAGTGTGTTACTGTTTTGACTTGTATCAGTTTGAGTTTCACTTTGCATCAATGCTCTGTGTCTACGTTGTGGCATTTTCACCTGTTGTAATGTCAATGCAGTTGTACAGTGCAAACTTCAGTAATGTAGATTGGCCTATTGTACTCAGGTGCTATTTTCCCCTGATCTGAAATAGCATTCCCAATTACACATGCTTTCAGGCAAAGGAAGCCCTTTTGTGAAGGGCTTTCTTAACTTGATTTTAAAAAAAGAATGAATCAAACTAAATGTAATCCAGTAGTGATCAATGGCTCAGTGTCTGGTTGGCGGTTGGTTTCAAGCGGAGTGCCCCAAGGATTGGATCTAGGGCTGGTTTTGTTCAACATCTTTGCTAATGACTTGGATGAGGTGATGGATTGCACCCTCAGCAAGTTCGCAGATGACACTAAGCTAGGGGGGAGAAGTAGATACACTGGAGGGTAGGGATAGGGTCCATAGTGACCTAGACAAATCCTAGAAGGATTGGGCCAAAAAAAATGAGGTTCAACAAGGACAAGTGTAGAGTCCTGCACTTGGGACAGAAAAATCCCAAGCATTGTTACAGGCTGGGGACCAACTGGCTAAGCAGCAGTTCTGCAGAAAGGGACCTGGGGATTACATTGGATGAAAAGCTGGATATGTGTCAACAGTGTGCCCTGTAGCCAATGGCATATTAGGTTGCATTAGGAGGAGCATTGCCAGCAGATCCAGATAAGTGATTATTCCCCTTTATTTGGCTCTGGTGAGGTCACATCTGGAGTAGTGTGTCCAGTTCTGGGCCCCCCACTATAGAAAGGAAGAGGACACATTGGAGATGGTCCAGTGGAGGGCAAGCAAAATGATTACAGTGGTCTGCAACCTATGGCTCTCGAGCTAAATATGGCTCCGTATGGAATCAAATAGGACTCTTTTGTCATTCCCAAAATAGATGCAACTCTTTCAATTAAAGCGAAAAACTAATTCAAAATTTTAAAACACACAAATAATCATGTAGCTTGAATGTGGCATGAACCTGAATTTGACCAGTTATGATGTAAGCTTTAAAGAAATGTGCGAAAAGATGCAGCAGCAGAAATCCGATTAAATAAAGTCTGTAAGTCCAATGTTTCATTTGTGCTATTATTAATCCTCATGTCCTTTATCAAGGATATTAAGTTGTATATTTTCAGTCATGCCAATGGACATTCTTATACAGCTCTTTGTTGACCATTTATTCTGCATTTTGATGTACAGGCAGTCCCCGAGTTACGCGGACGTCGGATCCGCAGTTACGAATGGGGCTTTTCTCACCCCGGACGACGGGAGCGGCGGGACGCCCAGATGAGCCGCGGTCCCACCGCCCGCGTTCTCTGGGGCGAGAAAAGCTGCTCCCCGTCTCCCTGGTCTGCTGGTCAGACCAGGGAGACGGGGAGCAAAGCCTCGGAGCATGCCCGCAACCAGCCACCCCCAGGGTGGCCGGCTGGCCGCA